ATGTAAAAAATATAATGACATATTCGGATTAGAATCCGAACCAATTAGCACAAATAACTTCTACAAACAAAAACTGAGATTGAAAGATGATGAACCCGTTTACATAAAAAACTATAGAAGCCCACATGGTCAGGTGAACGAAATTCAAAAGCAAGTCGGAAAACTAATCACCGACGGAATAGTCGAACCATCAGTATCGGAATACAATAGCCCATTATTGCTTGTCCCTAAAAAATCAGCTCCAGGTTCCGAAGAAAAAAAGTGGCGATTAGTAATTGACTATCGTCAGATTAATAAAAAATTATTGTCCGATAAATTTCCACTCCCTAGAATTGATGATATTTTAGACCAAATAGGTCGAGCAAAATACTTTTCATGTCTTGATTTAATGTCAGGATTTCATCAAATAGAACTTGAAAAAAGCTCAAGGGACATAACTTCCTTTTCAACGAGCAATGGCTCGTATCGATTCACACGATTACCTTTTGGCTTAAAAATAGCGCCAAATTCATTTCAGAGAATGATGACTATTGCATTCACTGGACTTGAACCTTCACAAGCATTCCTTTATATGGATGACTTAATAGTTATAGGTTGTTCCGAAAAACATATGCTTAAAAACTTAACAGACGTTTTTGAGAAATGTAGGAAATACAACCTAAAGTTACATCCACAAAAATGTTCATTCTTTATGCATGAGGTGACTTTTCTAGGTCATAAGTGCACAGATAAAGGAATACTTCCAGATGACAAGAAATATGACGTCATACTGAACTATCCAATCCCACACGATGCAGACAGCGCAAGACGTTTTGTAGCATTCTGCAATTACTACAGAAGATTCATAAAAAATTTCGCCGATTATTCACGGCACATAACACGATTATGTAAAAAGAATGTTCCTTTTGAATGGACATCTGAATGCCAAAACGCATTCGAATATTTAAAAACAAAACTTATGGAACCTACTTTGCTACAATATCCAGATTTTAGTAAAGAATTTTGTATAATTACTGATGCAAGTAAGCAAGCATGTGGAGCGGTTTTAACTCAAAACCATAACGGACTCCAACTCCCCATTGCATATGCATCAAGAGCTTTTACCAAGGGAGAAAGTAATAAGTGTACTACCGAGCAGGAACTAGCTGCAATACATTGGGTAATATTACATTTTCGACCATACATTTATGGCAAACATTTCATTATCAAAACCGATCACAGACCGTTAACATACTTGTTCTCAATGACTAACCCAAGTTCCAAACTGACACGTATGAGGCTAGAATTAGAAGAATATAACTTCACAGTTGAATATTTAAAGGGAAAAGACAATTACGTAGCTGATGCGTTATCAAGAATAACCATCAAAGAACTACAAAGTATAACCGGAAATATACATAAAGTCACTACAAGAAATCAAAGTAGACAGAAATCCTGCGCAGGAGAAAAAGAAATAGACTTGCCTAGGCAATCTATAGAAAAAGTTTCAAAGCCCAACGTATACGGAGTCATAAACAATGACGAAGTACGTAAAGTAGTGACCTTGCATGTAAAAAATATGCTATGTTTATTAAAACATGGAAAAAAAGTTACTGCAAGATATGATGTTAGCGATTTATATACCAATGGAGTCCTTGACTTAGGTCAGTTTTTCCAAAGGCTTGAGAAGCAAGCCGGTATACATCAAATCAGCCAACTCAAAGTGGCACCGTGGGAAAATATCTTTGAATACGTTTCAATAGATAATTTTAAGGAAATGGGCAATAAAACATTAAAATCATTGAGAGTAGCGCTACTCAACCCGGTGACCCTAATAAATTCTGAAAAAGAAAAAGAAGCAATTATGTCTACATACCATGATGAACCAATTCAAGGAGGTCATACTGGCATTTCTAAAACCTTGGCCAAGGTCAAAAGACATTACTTTTGGAAAGGAATGACTCGATATATTACAGAGTACGTACGAAAATGTCTAAAATGTCAAAAAGCGAAAATAATCACGCATACGAAGACCCCATTAACAATTACGGAAACACCGCAAACAGCTTTTGACAGGGTAATCGTGGACACGATCGGTCCACTACCTAAGTCTGAACAAGGGAATGAATACGCAGTTACTTTAATCTGCGATTTAACAAAATACCTTGTAGCAATACCAATTCAAAATAAAAGTGAAAAAACAATAGCAAAAGCTATATTCGAAGATTTTATTCTGAAGTACGGTCCAATGAAGAAGTTCATTACGGACATGGGAACGGAATATAAAAATTCAATAATTGAAGATTTATGTAAAAATTTAAATATCAAAAACATAAATTCTACTGCACACCATCACCAGACTGTCGGAACAGTGGAGCGAAGCCACAGAACACTTAACGAGTTCATACGCTCATACATCTCAGTTGATAAAACAGATTGGGATGTATGGCTACAATACTTCGTATACTGCTTTAACACAACACCCTCTATGGCACATAATTATTGTCCATATGAACTAGTTTTTGGGAAAACTTCAAACTTATCAAAACATTTCAATAGCATAGATAGAATAGAACCATTATATAATATAGAAGATTATGCTAAGGAATCTAAATTTAGATTAGAACAGGCATATAAAAGAGCCAGAATAATGCTAGAAACTAATAAACAAAAACAAAAAGATAGATACGACAAAAATAGTTTAGACTTTGAATTAAAAATAGGAGACCAGGTTTTATTAAAAAATGAAACTGGCCATAAGCTAGACTTTAAATATTCAGGACCATATATAGTAAAGAAGATAGAATCCAATAATAATATAACTATTTTAAATGCGAAAAATAAAACAGACAGTTCATAAAGATAGATTAAAAATTTTTATAGAATAGATTTTGTAGGATGGCCATTCATAAGAAAAAAAAAAAAAAAAATAAAATAACAAAAATTTTCTCTTCAAAAAAAAAAAAAAAAAAAAAAAAAAAAAAAAAAAAAATTACCTTACTATAATAAAAATATAGGAATACAAATATACAATACATTTTATAATAAATAATAAGAAATAGTCGCATAAATTTTCAAAGTTTCAACTTCACTAAGTTTTCCAATATTTACTATATTAAAAAAAATAATAATAATAATAACAAAAAAAAAAAGAGTTTTATTAATTTGCTAATTTTTATAAACATATATACATATATATATACCTAACACAATAACTAACAAAATAACTCCATAGATTACGTTATTTTTCAAAAGGAGGGAGATGTAGTATGCTCATATATTGGGTACACACTGTACCGCTTATATCACTGTAACATTGTAGCATTTGTTTATGTCCAAATATTCCCAGCACTTCAAGTGCAAAGCAATTCGACCCACACAACAATGTTATGCACATCCTAAATGCTGAGTCGGCATGTCTGCAGGCGCGGCCGACCATTCGGTTACCATGTGAGCATAACACTCTCCCTCTCATGCGCGGCCGCTGCTTGCGCCGCCTAAATACACTTACGTATACATTAACATATATATTGAGATACACAAGCGTTGGCCGCGGCGCTGCTCGTGCAGCTATATGAATTGTAAGCCAAGCCAACATTAGTCTTAAGTGAGCATTCTAGAAATGGGTCCCGATCTAAACGGACGATATAATAAAGAACAATATATCTTATAACATTACAGTACATTCTTTTTCTTGTGGTTATAAAACAAAGTCTAACATACATACACCCAACGTTACAGCGTATTTTCAGCATTTTGGTCTCCGGCAGCTTTGAAGCGATCTCCAAGTAGTTTGTAAAAATACATGAATTATCCTTCATAAATTGTAAAGCGACGCGGTATGCAAGTATTTATACGGGTATGACACTACATTGTTTGCCTCATTCATTAAAGCTTAGAAACAAAGACAACTATATGGATACTGCTTGAGATTTTGTTGGTAATAAGCTCACGGTCACACTGCCTTTTTAACGTTAAATTCAAACCTTATGGTTTTGTTTATTATATTGTGTTTATCCCGCTAAGTTTAACGTTTAAAGGTTTTCAGTTGATACCTTAAAATGGTTAAAAATATTTCGTATACATTTAAGCCTCGCTCTTCCAACTCCAATGAATGAGTATAATTGTACTTTTTAAGTACAATTTTGCTCATTGATGTATTGGCCCCGGTGGTATTTTATCGGTCTTTTTTGTTGCCCAATTCCGTCTTGTATTTTACTATCGGGTATCGGGTTCTGTCAATTTTATCCATTCATTGCTCATTGGAATCGTCATTCGTTTGTCCTGCTCGCACTTACGTAAAATCGTATAGTTAAAAAAATAAATGAGCAATGAATGAGGCCAACAATGTAGTGTCATAAACCCATTAGTGGTGCTTAAGGCTTTCCCAGACTAGGATTCCTGTTTTGCCGTGTGCCTTACCATCTAGAAAATCTGTGCGGTAGCACCAAGTTCTGGTTTTGAACCAGTGTTTGCATGGTCATTTTCAAGGACATAAATTCCATCATACTTTCTTGCATGGTAACCATCATTGATTCCACTGCGCTTTGTGACTGTATTGGGACCTACTGAAAGTTTCCTAGATTGGACTGGAGTGGGTTATCCGCTCCTGTTCAAAGGGCAGCCGTACCGAAAACAACTTCCGGTGTCGTTGTTAAGTAAGTGTACACGTTTTTAGTAGTTGTCACGAAAGCCTAGCCGTCTCTATAATAAAGACAAAACTAAAGGGCGTAGCAAGAAATCTAATTGGAAACGAAACAACGGTATGTGAAGTAATTGCCAAGTTAAAAAGCAACGTCAAAGGCGAAACTGTAGAGGTATTGTCAGCAAAGCTAATGAACCTACAGCAACGAAATAAAACTGCTAATCAATATACATCAGAAATTGAGCAGATGACGAAGGCTTTAGAAAGCGCATACATAACAGACGGCTTAACACTAGAACTAGCAAGAAGTTATTCCACACAGCACGCAGTAAAAGCAATGACTAAAAACTGCACGATTGATAAGGTAAAACTTATCATGCAAGCCGGCAACTTCAACACAATGAACGAAGCAGTTTCAAAATTCGTAAACAGTTGCACAGAAGCAACTGGACAACCAAATTCGGTCCTCTACTACAACAATTATACACAGCGCGGCGGAAACCGCGGACGTGGAAGTTATAGAGGAAATTTTCGTGGTCGTGGTAACAATTATGGTTACTACAACAATATCAACCAAAACAATGGTCGCGGCAACTACAGAGGAAACTCAAGGGGCCGTGGCAACTCGAGCGGAGGCTACAATAACAACAATACAGGCAATGTAAGAGTAGCCAATGAAACCTCGGGAAACTCCGAAACCCCTTTAAATGTTCAACAGTAGAAAAAGTAACGGTCCATACTATTAATCTCAGTCAGAATATATTCGTCTCATTCACCCATGTGACTACTGGAAAAGAACTTGTCTTTTTGGTAGACACAGGTGCCGAAATCTCTATAGTAAAAGAAAATTCAGATATATTTCAAAACGTACAAAATAATAAAATAATAGATATACGGGGAATAAGCCAGGAAATTACAAAATCCAAAGGCTTAACATCAATTGAAATACAGACTACCAAGTACATAATTCCACACGATTTTCATATCGTAGACTTACACTTAGCCGTCCCTTGTGATGGCATTTTAGGAATTGATTTTATTAAAAAATACAACTGTCAATTAGATTTTCAGCCATCTGAAGATTGGCTTATAATAAGACCAAACAATTTTTAAATTCCCAATTTATGTTCCAATAGAATACAGTTCTGGCAATAACTCAATTCTTCTGCCAGCAAGATCACAACTCATTAGAAAAATAAAATTAAATTCAAAAGAAGACAGTGTATTAATTCCAACTCAAGAAATTGAGCAAGGAATTTATATAGCAAGTACAATAGCTACAACACAAAATGCCTTCATAAGACTACTGAATACAACAAGCGAAGATAAAGTGGTCAGTGCAAACAATTTAAAATTCGAATCACTATTGAACTATGAAGTAGTTGAAGGAAACAAAGAAAATAGAGAAAAGTCTGTATTATCCCAATTGTCAGAAAATTTTCCCCCACAATTCAAATCCCAACTCACAAATTTATGTAAAAAATATAATGACATATTCGGATTAGAATCCGAACCAATTAGCACAAATAACTTCTACAAACAAAAACTGAGATTGAAAGATGATGAACCCGTTTACATAAAAAACTATAGAAGCCCACATGGTCAGGTGAACGAAATTCAAAAGCAAGTCGGAAAACTAATCACCGACGGAATAGTCGAACCATCAGTATCGGAATACAATAGCCCATTATTGCTTGTCCCTAAAAAATCAGCTCCAGGTTCCGAAGAAAAAAAGTGGCGATTAGTAATTGACTATCGTCAGATTAATAAAAAATTATTGTCCGATAAATTTCCACTCCCTAGAATTGATGATATTTTAGACCAAATAGGTCGAGCAAAATACTTTTCATGTCTTGATTTAATGTCAGGATTTCATCAAATAGAACTTGAAAAAAGCTCAAGGGACATAACTTCCTTTTCAACGAGCAATGGCTCGTATCGATTCACACGATTACCTTTTGGCTTAAAAATAGCGCCAAATTCATTTCAGAGAATGATGACTATTGCATTCACTGGACTTGAACCTTCACAAGCATTCCTTTATATGGATGACTTAATAGTTATAGGTTGTTCCGAAAAACATATGCTTAAAAACTTAACAGACGTTTTTGAGAAATGTAGGAAATACAACCTAAAGTTACATCCACAAAAATGTTCATTCTTTATGCATGAGGTGACTTTTCTAGGTCATAAGTGCACAGATAAAGGAATACTTCCAGATGACAAGAAATATGACGTCATACTGAACTATCCAATCCCACACGATGCAGACAGCGCAAGACGTTTTGTAGCATTCTGCAATTACTACAGAAGATTCATAAAAAATTTCGCCGATTATTCACGGCACATAACACGATCATGTAAAAAGAATGTTCCTTTTGAATGGACATCTGAATGCCAAAACGCATTCGAATATTTAAAAACAAAACTTATGGAACCTACTTTGCTACAATATCCAGATTTTAGTAAAGAATTTTGTATAATTACTGATGCAAGTAAGCAAGCATGTGGAGCGGTTTTAACTCAAAACCATAACGGACTCCAACTCCCCATTGCATATGCATCAAGAGCTTTTACCAAGGGAGAAAGTAATAAGTGTACTACCGAGCAGGAACTAGCTGCAATACATTGGGCAATATTACATTTTCGACCATACATTTATGGCAAACATTTCATTATCAAAACCGATCACAGACCGTTAACATACTTGTTCTCAATGACTAACCCAAGTTCCAAACTGACACGTATGAGGCTAGAATTAGAAGAATATAACTTCACAGTTGAATATTTAAAGGGAAAAGACAATTACGTAGCTGATGCGTTATCAAGAATAACCATCAAAGAACTACAAAGTATAACCGGAAATATACATAAAGTCACTACAAGAAATCAAAGTAGACAGAAATCCTGCGCAGGAGAAAAAGAAATAGACTTGCCTAGGCAATCTATAGAAAAAGTTTCAAAGCCCAACGTATACGGAGTCATAAACAATGACGAAGTACGTAAAGTAGTGACCTTGCATGTAAAAAATATGCTATGTTTATTAAAACATGGAAAAAAAGTTACTGCAAGATATGATGTTAGCGATTTATATACCAATGGAGTCCTTGACTTAGGTCAGTTTTTCCAAAGGCTTGAGAAGCAAGCCGGTATACATCAAATCAGCCAACTCAAAGTGGCACCGTGGGAAAATATCTTTGAATACGTTTCAATAGATAATTTTAAGGAAATGGGCAATAAAACATTAAAATCATTGAGAGTAGCGCTACTCAACCCGGTGACCCTAATAAATTCTGAAAAAGAAAAAGAAGCAATTATGTCTACATACCATGATGAACCAATTCAAGGAGGTCATACTGGCATTTCTAAAACCTTGGCCAAGGTCAAAAGACATTACTTTTGGAAAGGAATGACTCGATATATTACAGAGTACGTACGAAAATGTCTAAAATGTCAAAAAGCGAAAATAATCACGCATACGAAGACCCCATTAACAATTACGGAAACACCGCAAACAGCTTTTGACAGGGTAATCGTGGACACGATCGGTCCACTACCTAAGTCTGAACAAGGGAATGAATACGCAGTTACTTTAATCTGCGATTTAACAAAATACCTTGTAGCAATACCAATTCAAAATAAAAGTGAAAAAACAATAGCAAAAGCTATATTCGAAGATTTTATTCTGAAGTACGGTCCAATGAAGAAGTTCATTACGGACATGGGAACGGAATATAAAAATTCAATAATTGAAGATTTATGTAAAAATTTAAATATCAAAAACATAAATTCTACTGCACACCATCACCAGACTGTCGGAACAGTGGAGCGAAGCCACAGAACACTTAACGAGTTCATACGCTCATACATCTCAGTTGATAAAACAGATTGGGATGTATGGCTACAATACTTCGTATACTGCTTTAACACAACACCCTCTATGGCACATAATTATTGTCCATATGAACTAGTTTTTGGGAAAACTTCAAACTTATCAAAACATTTCAATAGCATAGATAGAATAGAACCATTATATAATATAGAAGATTATGCTAAGGAATCTAAATTTAGATTAGAACAGGCATATAAAAGAGCCAGAATAATGCTAGAAACTAATAAACAAAAACAAAAAGATAGATACGACAAAAATAGTTTAGACTTTGAATTAAAAATAGGAGACCAGGTTTTATTAAAAAATGAAACTGGCCATAAGCTAGACTTTAAATATTCAGGACCATATATAGTAAAGAAGATAGAATCCAATAATAATATAACTATTTTAAATGCGAAAAATAAAACACAGACAGTTCATAAAGATAGATTAAAAATTTTTATAGAATAGATTTTGTAGGATGGCCATTCATAAGAAAAAAAAAAAGAAATAAAATAACAAAAATTTTCTCTTCAAAAAAAAAAAAAAAAAAAAAAAAAAAAAAAAAAAAAAAAAATTACCTTACTATAATAAAAATATAGGAATACAAATATACAATACATTTTATAATAAATAATAAGAAATAGTCGCATAAATTTTCAAAGTTTCAACTTCACTAAGTTTTCCAATATTTACTATATTAAAAAAAAATAATAATAATAATAACAAAAAAAAAAAAAGAGTTTTATTAATTTGCTAATTTTTATAAACATATATACATATATATATACCTAACACAATAACTAACAAAATAACTCCATAGATTACGTTATTTTTCAAAAGGAGGGAGATGTAGTATGCTCATATATTGGGTACACACTGTACCGCTTATATCACTGTAACATTGTAGCATTTGTTTATGTCCAAATATTCCCAGCACTTCAAGTGCAAAGCAATTCGACCCACACAACAATGTTATGCACATCCTAAATGCTGAGTCGGCATGTCTGCAGGCGCGGCCGACCATTCGGTTACCATGTGAGCATAACACTCTCCCTCTCATGCGCGGCCGCTGCTTGCGCCGCCTAAATACACTTACGTATACATTAACATATATATTGAGATACACAAGCGTTGGCCGCGGCGCTGCTCGTGCAGCTATATGAATTGTAAGCCAAGCCAACATTAGTCTTAAGTGAGCATTCTAGAAATGGGTCCCGATCTAAACGGACGATATAATAAAGAACAATATATCTTATAACATTACAGTACATTCTTTTTCTTGTGGTTATAAAACAAAGTCTAACATACATACACCCAACGTTACAGCGTATTTTCAGCATTTTGGTCTCCGGCAGCTTTGAAGCGATCTCCAAGTAGTTTGTAAAAATACATGAATTATCCTTCATAAATTGTAAAGCGACGCGGTATGCAAGTATTTATACGGGTATGACACTACATTGTTTGCCTCATTCATTAAAGCTTAGAAACAAAGACAACTATATGGATACTGCTTGAGATTTTGTTGGTAATAAGCTCACGGTCACACTGCCTTTTTAACGTTAAATTCAAACCTTATGGTTTTGTTTATTATATTGTGTTTATCCCGCTAAGTTTAACGTTTAAAGGTTTTCAGTTGATACCTTAAAATGGTTAAAAATATTTCGTATACATTTAAGCCTCGCTCTTCCAACTCCAATGAATGAGTATAATTGTACTTTTTAAGTACAATTTTGCTCATTGATGTATTGGCCCCGGTGGTATTTTATCGGTCTTTTTTGTTGCCCAATTCCGTCTTGTATTTTACTATCGGGTATCGGGTTCTGTCAATTTTATCCATTCATTGCTCA